GTTAGTCTCTAAGGTGCCACAAGTCCTCCTGTTCTTCTTTTTGCGGATACAGACTAACACGGCTGCTATTCTGAAACCTATCATAGTCTCTGGTATTTAATAATATTCAGAAAACGTATTGTTTCTATGTGGAGCACAGTAAACAGGTCATCACAGCTCATCTTATATAAACTGCTTTTGTAAGACAAAGAGAATCTGCCATTACATTACATCCCTAGAGCCTGTGGCTTAAAACTTATATGTTGGTCCAATAAATGGCATCAAATTATCTGTCTTATCCTTCTATTGAACGCAGAACACATGCTGCTAGGAAACAAAAAGGACATGCATTTATTTTCAAGCATAGGACTTTGGAACCACTTGGGAAGAATATTCTTGATTGAGAACCAAAACATTCCATGATGCTTAACAAACCTGCAAATTGAAAAATCAACATCTGCCCTGTGTAGCAACAATAGTAGAAGGACCTATAGCTCGAAAAATTCAAAATATTCCTTAAATTATATTTTTGTGCATTTACAAAATTACTACTCTCTGAATCAAAAGTCTCAAGCTGTTTTTATCTGAGAGCATACGTTGTGTCGATAGACAATATCTCAGCCTGTAGTCGTACATGAAAAGCCCTGCTGCATAGCATAATGGACAGTCCTGCGAACAAGAAGCTGCATCTCAGTGAATGCTCCTATAATAATATTTTAAAATAAATGATATGCATCATTAAATCACTGAGGATGACTAACTCAATTTTAGAAAAATCACAACTCCTGCAATCACAGTTACAGTTCTTATTTGAATATTTTAGCTTTTACCTGGGCAGCCAATAGAAGCTAGTGAAGCCACATTCTGCTTCATACAGATGAAGGCACTACTCTAAAAGAAACAGGAAGGAACCTGTGATTATGTAGATACAGTAGCACGGGCTAGATGGGTTTTTTTTTTTTGCCATTTTTCTTATTTACATATCACAGGCATTTCTTTATGAAGTTATTTTAAATAATTTATTAGATTGATCTCTTCAAAATTCTACCAAGGCTAGGGGAAAAAAATGTCTTCTAAACTTATTTAAGGTTTGTGCTCAAGCAGGGCATTTACCTGCCTCACTGCTGATGTTCTAAAAATACCTCCATGTCCATACTATTATCCATTCTTCACGTCCAATTGCTCTGTTATGGTAATAGTCAGAAGCACACCATGTAGTAATTACTTACAGCTGACTTAAGAAAAGAATATTCAACTCCCCCACTGTTCCACTAGAAGGTCTTTATGCACTATTAACTCATTCCTGTTTATTAATACTCTACTGGTAATTCTGGCTGTTGCTTTTTAGGTTTGTAATAGGGGGACTATTAAACAGCAATTATTGACCATATGGGTTGGTGAATATTTGTTGTTGGTTTTTTTTTATTAATCCTTTTAACTTCTTTTTAAGGAAGCCATATTACAACATAGTAGAAATGGCATTACATCTGCCTGGGACTAAGAACCTTGGCCATACTTGCCATTTAGAAAATGCAAACTTCATATTTCAGATATATCAGAAGAAGCTGCAGAAATACTGCAGAACATTTTAGAAAACATAAAAATCCTAAGAGGCAGGTACAGGGAAAACCTTTGTCTTTGTTTTACAGCTCTGGGCATTTTGTTTTTTGATTTTCTCTGCCTTTTATTTTTTTAAGATAAATAGAAATCTGAGTTTTTTGCTCATTACATCTGTTCTAGAATTTCCAAATTTTAAACTAATAAAACCCAAGCTAGAAAAAGTGCAAATTATCAAACCTCTGGGTACTAGGCAGCAGCCTTTGTGAATGAGTCTGCCTAGTGAAAGGGTTCAGGAGGGACAAAATTATAGTAATTATGTCTCAAATAGCTGGGCTGGGGAAAGTGAGTCTTTTTTACTGCAGTTCTTGCCTTTGGCCAGTAGCAGCAGTTAGTACCCCTGTAGTTTCCAGCGGTTGCCTCTCTGTTTCTCCTGCTGCTCTTCGCTCCTTCACCTCCCGACTTTCCAGAGTTAGGGAGGCAGCCAGCTGTAGTTCAGTCAACTCTCTCACAGTTGGTGCTTCCCTCTTTTGCTGCCCCCTCAGGATGATGGAGAGGAGGAGCCAGGTGGGTTGGGAAAGGAAGTGGTAACTATAAAGAGGGTGAAGCAGAGGAAGGAGGGAAAGGGGAGCCTTAATGAGGATGGATGACAAGGGATAGGCCTACAGTGAGAGAGTGGAAGGGGGAAGCTTGAGATGGGTAGCAAGAAAGAAAGAAGGGAGATACGCCCATTAGAGGTTCCAGAGAAGAGCGCCCAACATCAAACACATTTGCTGTGGTGGGTGTTTGTGGGGAATTTGTGGGCTGTGTAAAGCCCCTACACACCACTTCTGATAAGATGGTGACATTGCAGTTGAGATTGACATTATTTAGAAGTTGAGAGAGGACATGGCAGCAGAAAATGAGGGACAGCATGGAGGAAGAAAGAGCCAGATGCAAAGGGCAAAGTACATCACCAAGCTCCCAATCTTGTAAATTGCTCTATGTGAGTGGATCCCTGTGCCCATGCGGAGCCCCACTGAAGGCAAGAAGGAAAGTCAGATTTTCAAGATGAAATCGTTTCAAAGGTAATTTTCTCTATTTTTCACTCACCCTATTTTTTCTCCTAGCAGAACATTTTCTTAGGGCTTGTCTTCACTACTGGGAGATCGACGCTGCTGCAATCGATGCAGCGGGTGTCAATTTAGCAGGCCTAGTGAAGATCGGCAAAATCGATGGCAGAGCGGTCTCTGGTTGACTCTGGTACTCCAGCTCCCCAAGAACAGTAAGGTAAGTTGAGCAGAGAGCGTGTCCCATCGACACAGCGCAGTGAAGATCCCGGGGTAATTCACATAGCTGGGTAGTGTAACTTAGCTCGACTTTACCCCAGTAGACAAGGCCATGATCTCTTAATACTATAGAGTTTGGTAGAAGTTCTGATACCTGTGTGTGTTTGGCTTGGATTATGATTCTTTGCCATATCATTCTGGTCTTCTGAGCTGATGACCAAAAACAACTCAATTTAGAAAAAAACAGAGGGCATAGTTGTTTCTGATCATCATTACATCATACATTTTCCAGTACTAAAATAACTAGTGTCAAAATAAAAAGTTTAATAGATAAAAAAATCAATTTTGAATCTGTTGTTGTTTCACTGCCAATGAGACACTCTATTGTTTTCCTATTATAAATTTGCATATGTTATTGTTTTATGAGTTAAAAATGCTTTTTTTGGTATCTCAGCTAGGTATCATACAGAATGACTTAGAAAATAAATTAGAAAAGCCTGTTAGATATGATGTCAGCTCCAAAACTGCTTCTAACCTAAATTGTAATGTAGATGAGTTAAGTTGTCTACATTTACCTGTAGTCTTGTCAAGCTACAGAGATTTTTTAGTGTGATCACATAGATTTCAGGGAAGTGTGGACTTACACAAAGCTATGCTAAAAATAAATACTGGAGGTAAAAAATAGAATCTGTCCAGTCTCTATGCTATTAAAGCAGGATAAAGTATTTTATTCAGCCTGGGTCTATGATAGCAGAACAGCAACCTGTTGTTCACATTAAAAATAACAGTTATGCGAAACCTATGCATTCCTTTGTTCTCTGTTGCTGCCTGGATCTACATTGCAAAATCAGTGTGTGGCCTGAATGGTTGTTATGCCAGAAGTATTACCTCCTCAAGCAGTTATTCCTCTGAAGTGGTGTATCTCATCATAACACCAGTGTTCCATAGCATGCATTGCCTGCCTGATGGTTTCTGTGTGCAGTTTAAGGTGCTGTGTTTTGGTCTATAAAACCCTAAGTGGCTTGGACCGGCCTCTCCCCAGGTGAAATCCTGGCCACACTGAAGTCAATGCAAGATTGTTATTGACTTCAGTGGAGGTGTTGGAGTTGGAGCTCCCTTGCTGTAGAAAACAGGGATCTAGCAAAAAGGTGAGGGCTTCTTGATTAGGGAACTTGCTCCACTCTGGCTCTGAAATAGCCTGGATTTGTTGGGCTTAGCAGAGTGTTTTAAACTCATCTATTTGGTAGTGCTTTTGGGGAGGGCTGAGGGTATGAGTGTAGTGGTGCATATTTTGCTATTTTGAGAGAGTCGCTAGTTAAGTGAAGTGAATGGAGCCTCTGCCATGCTGATGGGTAGTTCTTCCTTCTATAAATGGAAATCTGGAGTGAACTAGCCCATGAGGTGATCTACTGCTTCAGTAAGCCCCAGAGTGCGGGCCACATGCAAAATTTACATTCAGATTGATGTCAGAGCCTATCAAAGAGACTGCCACAGCTGCTGGGCTTAGCTGTTTAATGCCACACCTTGTAGGTTTCTGTTGCGGGGGGTCTTATTCCCAAACCCAAAACAAGATTTTGGTTCATTTCAATTAAATGGTCAGTTCCCTCCTCCCTAATTTAAACCTGGCCCAAAACATTCAAAAGTATTCTTTAAAAGCCACTGGGAAATTATATTTTTGCAAGATAAAATTACAGCAGATAAATGACCGTGTCACTGACATGTTACTTAATCTTAATACACTTTGGTAGATTGGTTGTGTTTAGTATTCTAGGTGAAACTGTAGTGTAGCACCAATCCTTGCACATGCTAAAGGGAAAATGGTGTGCTAGTGATTCAGTCGTTATGCTTGTTGCAGGGAAGAGATTAGAGTGCGCTTCTTTGTCAGTTCATCTCCTTAACTAATAATATATTATTTATTACAAAGATTTAGTTTCTTAAACCTGTCTTCTTTTTTCTTTTAAAGATATCGCTTACTGTTTGATCTATAGTCTTTAAATATATATAGGTATGTGGGGCTGCAGCACAAGCTACATTTTTTAATGCCATCCAGTTTTATCTAAGTCTGCGTTTTATGTTCACAGGGCTAGTTCAAGCACATCTGGGGTCCCCTGTAGCCCAGCGCGTAAGGGGCCTTCCACTTCTGTCATCATTTATTTTTCCCTTCCCCTGTATAACCAGACATAAAGTATTAGTGTGAAATTAAAACTCTGGTCTATGTAAAAATGCTGCAGCTCACCTACACTTTTAGTATTGTGCACCCACACACACATACACACACACACACACACATACACATACACGACTTCACCCTTACTGGGTCTGCCTACCACATAAGCCGTCTCCCTCACTGCCCTCCCCACACACAGCACCCAATCTCCCTCACTCTCAATGCACTCACTGTACAGATTACTGTCTCTGCAGGAGCCAGACCCTTTCACCCTCTTCCCACAGGACTAGGTTTGGAAGAAGAGCAGGAGCAGCCCCCGGAGATCTCCTCCTAGGTCTCCTCCTTGTATCCCAGGGTTTCTTGTCTTCCTCTTGGTCATCTGCAAGGAAAGTGCTCTTCTTTCCTGTACCTGTCCCAGGGAGTGAGGCAAGCTGGGCATTCAGCCAGCTGCCAGGGAAATAGCATTTAGTGCAGGGCCCAGATGTGTTTTTCTCCGTTCTCTTTGGGGCCCAGAGTAAATTCCTCCCTGTCAGCTGGTGACATGCTGGAGAGGGAGAAGACAGAGTGGGGAATTCAGGATATTCAGCAATGCACCCAGACAAGGACTGTGTTTCCTCCTGGCAGGTAGTGGTGGAGGCCCGACTGCAAGACAGAGTGGGGTACTTCTCTCATGTTCCTAGTATGGTGTTTTTGAAGGAGGAGGGAGAACTGGAGGAAGCTGCCACAGTGTGTTCCCAACCTGCTATGTCAGGTCCACCAGCCTGTCATAAACTAGCCAATCAGAAAACAGTTTTTAATGCCAGTTATAAAATATAAGTAACCTTTTCATGGCATTTTTGTCTTCTGTATGATTTTGCATATCAGAAGCGATGTGTCCGAAGAAGCAGACAAAATAAGAACATATTTCCATCAGAAGTACAGATCAGAGTGAGTCACAGTGGGTGGAATAGGATGGGAAAGAAGGGAATTGTGTATCCTCTACAACTGCTGCCCTGTATTCTGGGCACCATGTCTGCATATTTGAATCTAGAATGGTATATTCTGTGTATATACACCTCTACCCCGATATAATGCGACCCGATATAACACGAATTCGGATATAAGGGGGTAAAGCAGTGCTCCAGGGGGGCGGGGCTGCGCACTCCGGTGGATCAAAGCAAGTTCGATATGACACGTTTCCACCTATAACACGGTAAGATTTTTTGGCTCCCGAGGACAGCGTTATATCGAGGTAGAGGTGTAAGATTTTTTAACTCTAGATGTACAATGCTTTTTCATACAGTGGCACACTTATAGAGTGAGTGTGAAATAAGCACTGAGTATCTGACCCACAAGGGAAATGGAGGATTTCAGTTTATGTGGCAAAAATGGTGGAAGGAAAAAGGCACATTTTAAAATTGGTCTCCCCATCCTGTGCTAAATATCCAAATGTTCCATAGAATAACTGTAACTCCTAGTGGTGTCCTTTAAAAGATAGTCAGTATTGGATCTGTGGGTCTCCTTTAAAGATTTTTGTTTCAACAGATCTACTTCTTTCTCTCATTCCCTTGTTGTTTGACTCTGCCCTTGTCAGTGCTACTGTTCTGACAATCAACAGGGATAGCAGCATGCAACATTAAATCTGCTCATGGGAGAGCAGGCGAGACAGTGTCTTAAAACTGGGACATCTGGTGGTTCTACTGTTAAGCATAAGTGGAGAGCACTAGTTAAAATACTGGTTCAGTACTGTTCAATACTGTTTGGAAATGGCATGACTAAACAGCATTTGGTGGGTAGTAAAATGCAGTTGTAAAAAAAGTCAGTTTTATCACAAAACCACCTTCTCCCTCTTCACCCCCAGAATAACAAACTTTCAAGTAAGAAGTGAGCTCATGAAAACAGCAAAATTAAACTGGATTCCAGTTAGTAAAGGAATGTCAATGCAAGGCAGGGATAAGTTTGCGAGAGCTAGTATTATGTGTGGATTCTTGTATTTGATCATGAATATGTAGGGACATCCTTTCAATAAAAAGAAAGAGTTCTGGTAGGAAAGGTGGATTGTAAAAACAAACAAAAAAAATACATATCTCTCTCTCTCTCTCTCTCTCTCTCTCTCATATCGAACAAAAATACTTGATATGCAGTTTGCAATCTTGACAGCAAAACCAGCATGTCTTTGCTCAGTTCCCCTAAATGTTATCTGAGTACATTCCATTAAAAATTAGGTTGTATCATCACTTGAACTTGAGATAAAAAGTAATAAAGTAAATATATTAAATGAAAATGTAGCAATTAGACCAAAAGTTATGTTGTTTCATGAGTATCAGAACAGACCAATCAGTGAAAGTGCCTTTATATTTAGCTCACTGTAACTGTAAAGGCCTACTACTATGCTTTAATTTGACCAAACCATAGTATAAGGTTTGTTATAAGCACTGCATGACTTTTATTGCCTTGAAGATGAAAGTTCCTTTATAAACTGACATCCAGTTTTTGCTGACCCAATGAAATAGTATTGTACATCACATGTGCAATACGGACAACATATGTAATAACCCTCCAGATTTAGCCACTTCTGCGTGTATTAGACAGAACCTGGGACATGTTTTCATAATTTGTTTAATATACCGCTACCTCGATATGACACCACCCGATATAACACGAATTTGGATATAACGCAGTAAAGCAGTGCTCCGGGGGGGGGGGGGGG